CACACACACACACACACACACACACACACACACACACACACACATTCGAATGTTTTCTTGACTGTGATTATTACATCTTAGTAATCTTACAAGCATTGTGAATTTGTGAGCTAGCTGCTAGGCGAAATGCAATTATCTCCAGCTCAGAACTTTATCAACGTTTCTCTCACCATGATATAAGCAGTCGCTAGATCAATTGTCCGTGCCGTTGGAGTCACGAAAACAGTATCGCATCCCTGTACAAAACAAGTGAACGTATTTAGCCATTTATTTGCTTTTTGTTGCAGACCCTGACCGCTTGACCCTGCCAATGAATATGGTTCAAAGCTCATACCATATTCATGACTAGCTGGCCTTGTCTGAAACACAGGCCCAACTATTACAGTTGCATTCTGCAAGCCGCTGTAGTGCAAGTGAAGGCGTCTTAGAGATCATCAGCTCGGTGCAGGTTGTATTAACTATCATGGTGAGTACAAACTTGCATACTTGGCAGCTGCATGAGCGACTCATTGCTCTTCTGTCTATCACCGCTCAAGTGAGGTCTTATTTGCAGCAAGAATAGCTAGTACATATAAGAAGGCAGACATCACGTGGAAATGTATCTTGTAGTGTGCCTCTTCATTCCCATCTATCAGGCAATGAACATTTGTTGGTCATCAGTGTCTAGTTGATGGAATTGTTTTCCGTTTCTTTGTCCTTCTCTGCACAAGAGGCAATGATTGATGTTCACCATCATATAGCTCACGGTCCGAAATCTAATCTTGATACATCTCTAAATCGTCAGCCGTAGGTATGTAGTACTGTGCACTGTTGGACTAACCTCCTTCCAGCCTTTTTTTTTGGGGGGGAAAGGGGGTATCCCCCTGACATTATCGCATCCTTCGGGATTTTATTTAACTTTGATGGACTTGTTATCTGACAGTGACATGTTCGTAGTACTTTATAATATGGTTGCATACCCCAACGGTCAGCGGCCCTCGACTGGTCGGATACCGATCACCTGACCGGTTGGCTGGTCGGCACCTACCGGTCGGAGGTCGTC